GATCTCTTAGCACCTTTCAAATATAATATGGTATTGATAACCATAGTTACCATACTATACGTTACATCCCCAGAACTTATTTTTCTTGTAAGTGGAAATTTGTACCTTTAGACCAACTTCACCCATTTCCCCCCCACCCCCCCCACCCCAACACACACACACACACAAATTCCACCCTCTGGCTGCCACTAATGTATTCTCTATTTCTATGAGGTTTTTAAAATTCCACATGTAAGAAAGATTATATAGTATTTATCTTTGTCTATCTGACTTCACTAAGCATATTGCTCTTGAGGTCCTTCCATGTTGTCACAAATGGCAGGATTTCCTTCTTTATTATGGCTCAGTAATATTCCATTGTATATATACATAAACCACATTTTTTTTTTAATCCATGCATCCATATGTGGACACTTAAGTTATTTCCATATCTTGGCTATTGTAAATAATGCTATAGTGAACATATATTTTTTTTATTTTTTATTATTAAATCTTTATTGTTCAGATTATTACCGTTGTTCATCTTTTTTCCCCCCCATAGCTCCCCTCCACCCGGTTTCCACCCCACCATCTGCCCTTACGCACTATCCTCATCCATAGGTGTATGATTTTTGTTCAGTCTCTTCCCACACCCCCCACACCCCTTTCCCCCTCGAGAATTGTCAGTCCACTCCCTTTCTATGCCCCTGATTCTATTATATTCACCAGTTTATTCTGTTCATCAGATTTTTTATTCACTTGATTTTTAGATTCACTTGTTGATAATAATGTATTTGTTGTTAATAATTTTTTTCTTTACCTTTTTCTTCTTCTTCTTCCTCTTCTTAAAGAATACCTTTCAGCATTTCATATAATTCTGGTTTGGTGGTGATGAACTCCTTTAGCTTTTTCTTATCTGTGAAGCTCTTTATCTGACCTTCAATACTGAATGATAGCTTTGCTGGGCAAAGTAATCTTGGTTGTAGGTTCTTGCTGTTCATCACTTTGAATATTTTTTTGCCACTCCCTTATGGCCTGCATAATTTCTGTTGAGAAATCAGCTGACAGTCGTGTGGGTATTCCCTTGTAGGTAACTGTTTTTCTCTTGCTGCTTTTAAGAGTCTTTCTTTGTCTTTTGCTCTTGGCATTTTAATTATGATGTGTCTTGGTGTGGTCCTCTTTGGATTCCTTTTGTTTGGGGATCTCTGTGCTTCCTGGACTTGTAAGTCTATTTCTTTCACCAGGTAGGGGAAGTTTTCTGTCATTATTTATTCAGATAGGTTTTCAATATCTTGCTCTCTCTCTTCTTCTGGCACCCCCATTAATTCGGATGTTGGTATGCTTGAAGTTGTCCCAGAGGCTCCTTACACTATCTTCATATTTTTAGATTCTTTTTTTTTTTTTTGCTTTTCTGGTTGGGTGTTTTTTGCTTCTTTGTATTTCAAATCTTTGACTTGATTCTTGTGATACTCTAGTCTGCTGTTGGATCTCTGTATATTATTGTTTATTTCAGTCAGTGTATGCTTAATTTCTAGTTGGTCCTTTTTCATATCCTCAAGGGTCTCACTAGATTTATCGAGGGTCTCACTAAATTTATCGGTGGTTTCTAGGAAATTCTTGAAAAACCTTATAAGTGTGGTTTTGAACTCTATATCCAGTAGTTTGCTTTCCTCCATTTCTGTCATTTGTGACCTGTTTCTTTGTCTCCGCATTTTGGCTGCTTCCTTGTGTTGATAGAGTGGCTTTGTGTGCTAGGTGTCCTATAGCGCCCAGTGGCTCAGCCTCCCCAGTTACCTGAGGTGGACCCTCTTGGTGCACCCCTTTGTGGGCTTTGTGCACAGTCTTGTTGTAGTTAAGGCTTGATTGTTGTTGGTTTCACTGGGAGGAATTGACCTCCAGGCCAATTGGCTGTGAGAATCAGTTGTATTTGCAGTGGGAGAACTTTTGTGCTGGGGACAACCTTATGGGGCAAGAGTTGCTTCAGTGGGGCTTTGGTGCTCACTGAGTCTGCCCCCTGAATGTGTCCCTTATGGATCTGAGGAGTTATAATCGGGATGGTCCCACTCTGACCACTGGGTACACTGGCTCTTGGATCTCTAAGGAGGTCTTTAGCCTCTTCCTGAGGCTACCCAGCAGGAGCTACAGAGAGATCTTCAGATTCATCTTCTTTGTTTGGGGTTTGGAGGTGCCCAGATGAGGCCCAGCTGTGAAGCAATGCAAGGTGCTGTGGGGCCTCGGGCCTTCTTTTGGATGTTCTGGGTCTCTCTGACCCAGCTGCAGTTTGTTAGGTAATTTTAGATTGCAAATGGCCAGGCCATTCATATGCAAAAGCCTCTGCTCACAGCTTGGGTGGGGTGGGGTCTCAGGGAATCAACAGGACCGAGCAAACAGCTATGGCTGTTCCTCAGCCCTGCCCTATGAGGCCCTGGGTCCCAGTGTCTCTCAGTAATCGCTGCAAGCACCTCTGAAAGAAAGCCGCCCTCGAGTTCCACCCAATGCCAGACAGTCCAGTTTCTCCCTGTATGAGTCTGGGTCCCCAGAGACTTGCCCAGAACTGGAGTTCAGAGCAGTCAGGAGTTTGTAAAAATTGAAAAAGATAACCCCGTCCTCAGTTGCCAGCCCTTTCCTCGTGCTCCTCCGTACTTCTGAACTTTACTTCTGCACCTCCTCTGAGTCTCAGTGTGCTTTTCTTTTTCCTTCTAGTTGTAGAATTTCCACTCATCCAGCCTCCCTGTGGTTCTGGATGATGTCTGTTTTGTCTTTTAATTGTAGTTTTGAAGTGGTTGTGTGAGGCAGCAATTTCAGGTGTTTACCTATGCTGCCATCTTGGTTTCTCCAACATATATTCTTTTGAGTTAGTATTTTATTTTATTATTTTATTTTTATTTTTGGTATAGCAAAGGTGGAGATTTATTGAAGAATAAGTACATGTGGGGAGAGGGAAGAGTCCCACAGAATGGACTCCCAAGTAGGTAGGGGGAAAAGGGTCCCTGTGAGTTAGTATTTTAAAAACTAAAAGGTTGGTTTTACTCTTTTAATTTAAAAATATCATTTAAATAAGTTTTCTTATTATAAGATAAAAGAAACACTTATAATAAAACTAGAGGCCCAGTGCACGAAATTTGTGCATGGGTAGAGTCCCTAGGCCTGGTGGTGATCAGGGCTTATCAGGTTCCCCACCTCCCCGCCTCCTCCTTCCCTCACCACCCAGGCACCGCCACAGTGCAGTTTCCCCTGCCTCCCTGCCTCCTCCTTCCCTTGCTCCCTCAGCGTTTCATTGCCACTGCTGGTCACCTGCCATGTTCCATGCTGCCCCCTGGTCGTCGGCGCAGGTCATAGTGAGCGATCGAACTCCCGTTCTCCCGGTCGAGCTCCCGAGGGGACACTGTGCATATTAGTCTTTAATATATACATACTAGAGTCCCAGTGCACGAGTTTGTGCACCGTAGGGTCCCTTGGCCTGGCCTGTGGGATTGGGCCGAAAGCAGTTCTCCGACATACCCCAAGGGGTCCTGAATTGTGAGAGGGCTCAGGCCAGGATGAGGTACCCCACCGGTGCATGATTGGGGCCAGGGAGGGACGCGGGAGGTTGGCTAGCTGGGGAGGGACCACATGAGTTCTCCAGGGCGTGTCCGGCCCATCTTCGCTCAGTCCTGATCAGCTGGACCCCAGGAGCAAGCTAACCTACTTATCAGAGCGTCTGCCCCCTGGTGATCAGTGCACGTCATAGTGAGCAGTTGAGCGGCCTTAGCATATCATTAGCATATTATGCTTTGATTGGCTGAATGGGCGACCAGACACTTAGCATATTAGGCTTTTATTATATAGGATAGAAGATAGACCTATGTAAAAAAGATAAGGCTCAAGCCCTAATCAAGTGACTTAGTTGGTTGGAGCATCATCTCATATACGAAAAGGTTTTAGGTTCGATCCCAGGTCAGGGCAGTATGGAAGGCAATTGATTGAAGTTTCTCTCTCATACTGATGTTTCTCCGTCTCTTTCTCTCTCTTCCTCTCTCTCTCAATTAAATAAAAACATATCCTTTGATGAGGATTTAAAAAAACAAAATAAGGCTCAACATTTAACAAAAAGCAACACAAATCTCTTCGGTGATTCAGTTGCTCTAGGATGATAAATTTAATTAATTAAAAATTAAATAAAAGTAGAATTACAACATTAGTTTGGAAAAATTAATAAATAGAAATATTTTTCAATAGTCTTTAGACATGACAAATAATTGCTATAATGAATAACAAAGTTTTAAAAGATAATTTTAAAATGCTTTAAAATTTCAAAGTGAGAAAAACTAAACATTGGATATGTTTAAATATTTCTTTCTGATTTCAAATAGTGAAACATATGTGAAAATTTCCAAGAATGTATTTTTTATGAAAATGCCATGTTCACTTTATTATTATGTCAGTTAAAAGATAAATGCATATGCTTTTTCATTTCCAATTAATATGGCATATTTAGGAGATAATAAATTTTAAAGTGTTACAATAGCCAAGGAAATGTCAGTGGTTTACAAACAGTGTGGATCTTGAATTTTTTTTTAGTAATGATTGTAAACTTTGTTCCACATGGATATTTGCATTTGAAGGTAATATTATGTGATTTATATAATTATTCTTAAAAAATTTTTTTATTGATTTCAGACAGGGAGAGGGAAAGATAAATAGAAACATCAGTGATGAGAGAGAATGATTAATCAGCTGCCACCTGCACACCCCACACTGGAGGTTGAGCCCACGACCCAGGAATTGAACCGTGACCTCTTGTTCATAGGTCAATGCTCAACCACTGAGCTGTACAATCATTTTTGAATGGTTGGAACATAATTGGAAATTTCTGTGCCTGGTAGCAATAACATAAATATGAAGTATGGTAGATATTTGCTTCTTATATCTCCTCTATAAACTGCAAATGTTACTAAAATAGCACTTTGGTGTGTTTTCTTTGTGTTAAGTGTGCACTGTCTTTAAAATTCCAGCTTTACTTATTGCTGTCATTTGAACAGGTGTCTCAATGCTTGTACCTACTGCAAAACTAAACATGCCAGAGGAAACTTGGCCAGTTATCCAATTGATGAACTAGTAGACAGAGCCAAACAGTCTTTTCAAGGTAAGAGTGTCTATAATTGTGTACAAGTTTAGTCTTCTTAATAAATTATAGTAGTCTTCTAATTTGTTTTACTTTCCATACATGCTTCTTTAGCTTTCTGAAGAGTTTACAAATATTTCAGCTTATCTGATAGATTCAATCAGGTTATATTATTCATATTACTAGCCACTCTTTCATTTTTTTTATGACTCTAAGGTAAGTGACATGATTTGAATTTTATCACCTATTGTAGATTCCATGGAAAAGACAAAAAATAAAAATAAAAATGAAATCCATGACCTTTTGATGTGTGTTAAGAGTTTTGTGAACTGAGTAATACACTTCTTAAGATTTCTACCCATTTCTTTGGTCATTTCTGGACCATTAGAAAATTGAACTAATAAAGGTTTCCCAGAGTCTTGGAAGGAGAAGGTAGATTTTACTATCATCCAATAAAGATAGCCTTCCTTATTCATGGGACTATTGAGTCAGTAAGGAGTGGTACTGGTAGGGAGCCCGACAGAGAACGATTCGCTGTGTGAGTGGCCAGCTACTTCTGACTCATCACTTGCTGAAAAATGTGATTGTCTAGGTATCTCTCTGTACAAAATAAGACTTATCTTTTACATGAGTCAGAGTTGTGTTGTTTGACACATAACTGCTTAAACTATAAACTTCCCTTTTGTCTTTGTTTATGATATGTGTAATATAACATCAGTGTGCTTTTACACCCAACATGAGATAATGCATGGTCTCATAATCTTGTGGGTTAATAGTTATTGGTTATGTACTTTTCTTTGAGGAAGTAACTTTGAGTGCTATTTTCAGTACTTCACACCCTGAATTCTAGCAAGTATGAATTCCAAACACATTTCTTTATTTAGTCTATGTAAAGCTTTTATCAACATGAATTTGGAACGCTCTTAAAAGTAGAGAAAAATATAACCTTGGTTGGTTTGTTAACACCTCCCAATAATTTTTTTCTATTTTTATATTCTTAGCTCAGTCCACTCTTCTATTTCCATTCAACAAGAAATGAAAGGCAACTCACTGACTCTTGCCAGTGTTCTGTTTTAGGGTGAGACTAAATACCTAGTCTAAGAAAATGTCTGGGTAATTGTCTTTTGTAACACAACTACCGTAAGGATTTTTCAAAAATGGCAAAAATTTGCAAAGAAACCTAATATATTTGAAAAATTATGCCTTTTCTGGCATTCTTACATGGTGTTTGTTTTTTTATGTATCTGTTGGTTAATGGAGATATTAAAACTATATTATATATCCATCAAACACTACAAATTGGAAGGCATACAAATTAGTTTCTTTGAGGCACTTTTTCAACATTATACATTTCTAAGTACAACTACATATAACTGAAAAATTTTCTCATTTTACTTTGAAAATTTGTTTGAAAAATATAAAACAGTTAAATCACCAAGTGAAAGTATTCTCTGGGCTCCCTCATATCTATCCTCATCTATAACCTATACTAATGCTTTGATATGATTGCCTCATGACTTAGTATGGACACATTTATGTATTATATCTGACTTGAGGGGAAAAAAAAGAAGGGGTGAAGGTAGTATTTATAAAATGCTTATAGAATTACTCTGAACATATCCAACAAACGTAGCTCTCTGGTTATCTTTAGAAATGCCCATGAGCAGTAGAGACACAGTGTGTTAGTTCTGTCAGACTTTGATTGGCAGTTAGCATTGACACATCCAAGTGATCTGGGCTAATTAAGGTGCGTGGTTCAAAGACTATATATATATCAGAAGTTGGGAGTGACTTTGTGGCTATTTTTAGAGAAAGTGTTAGAAAATATTTATTTAGTATTACTTTCATAATCATTATCAGTACATATGTATGTGCCTTTTTATTTGCAATCATAGAATGTTTGCAATGTAAGGTTTTTCTGTTGTCTTGTTATCTGTAAATTAGAGTTGAAACTGAATGCTAGTTTTTGGACTGGTGAGGTCATTTGCTTGGATATGTGGTACTGTTTCTAAAATATTGAGGTCATAACTTTCTAGATAAGCCATTGCATTTAGGAAAATTTTAAGTTATCAAGTAATTGATGCTCTTTGCTTAAGAGAGTTAGAATTTGAAACGGTGGTGTGCTACTTACTAGCCACATGATCTGACAAGGTACATGACCTCTCCGAGCCATGTTCTTCTTATTACTATGCTGTTTAGTGTTGTTTGGGATAACTTATGCGAAGTAATTGCCTGTGTCCTTAGACATTACTTAAACTGAAGGAATTTAGAATCAATTCAGAAAGAGAGGTCTTCATTTTGAGTGAGAATATTGGAACATCCACAGCAAACATTAATGACTAGAATCAAATGACAGATTTTTAAAAATATATTTTCTGAAAAATGTCTCTATAGATAGAAATTATTTAGTTTGACAACTACCTTTCATTTTCTTAATTTTAGAAAAATAAATTCATGCTAAGAATGGCCTTATAACCCCTTTCTACTATAGTAAATAGTCTGTACCTCACATTTTAAAGACATTGAGTTAGTTTATTATCTTTTGTTTTCTGCAAAGGACAGTGGGATTTTAATGGTCTTACTGAATTTCTATGTTGGAGCTTTAAAACTGTGAAGAATAATTGTGAAGGTAAAAAGAAGAAATAACCCATTTTCTTAGTTTTATAGTGTTTGCATATTTAGTTCCTTTCATAACTCAGGTGTTAGGAATTGTTTTTGAACCACAACCCCATAAATTCTTCATTATGTCATTATGAAATTATCTGTCCTATAGAATTATTCTTCTAATAAAGAAGAATAAATATTACTCTTTGAAAGATTATGCTAAATGTAAAGGTTAAGTATGCTGCCACTAAATTTTAGCACTATGTTTAAAGTCAGTGGAAATTAAACTTCCCGTCCTGAAAATTACATTTGCTTTCTTTCTGTAACTTAAAATTTTTAATGACTGTGTAGAAATATAAAGTGTTTTTTAAAAGCTCTAAACCAATTGTGGAATGGGGATGAGAACCCAGGTTTCCTGCCACGATGCAGTGAGATCCCAATTTCTTTATGAATAGCATATTTAGGAAATATTTTATATTCATAAAATGTATTTCTTAGTAGTCTAATGAATGTGAAGAGACTAAGAGCTAACCCAAAGGCAAGAGACTGTTGAGAAGAGATTTGTGAAATCATTCTGAATGTAAACTGGTTTCCCAGAGAATTAAAAATAGTATACATTCAGGTGCCGAAAAGTGAGAAAGGCAACTTATTAACTTTTGAATGGATAGCATTGAAGTCACAATCCTTTATATTTTGAAATAAAAATTTTTGTTTACCATTTACATATGTATTTGTGTTTGTGTTTGATTTCCTGGCTTTTTTGCTTTTTCTCTCACTGAACCTAGTCCCCTTGAATTTTTCTTTGACTGTTTTTACCTTCTTGGTGTGTTTATCATTTTTGTGGGCAGTTCTGCATATGAGTTATAAGATGTACCAGGCGACTTCTGGGTATCATATCACTATGTTAACCGGCTGCTGGGAAACCTTCCCCCTTACTTCCCCACCTCTGTCGAGATTTAGGCTTTAAAAATTCCTGGGCATGGCAGTGTCTGGGGGCTGAGGTTTGACATGGTTGCATTTTCGATATCTAGAAAAACATGTCAAGCAGTGACCAGGACTTTGTTGAGGCCAGAATGAATTTACAAGCTAGTGTTTTCTAGCATATTTGTATTGATTTTTCTCTAGCAGCTAATCAATCAGTTTCAGTGGTCTAAGTGATGGAACAAACCTTTTTAAATGTGCTGGGTGAGTGGTGTGGAAACAACACCTTTCATTGCTGTCTCTGGAATCAAAATGTAGAGATGATGGATGAGCTGTTTTCATAGCTCTCCTGTGCTTTTCTAGATCTCATTTGTATGTTACTACTTTTTTGTCCCTCACAAATCTGAAAAAGCCTTGCAGGATAAGTGGCATAAGCAGGTTATAGGAAGGTAAAGAAATTAATGTGAAATATTCAAAGCAGAGAGAAAATTTCTTGATGCGTAATGATTTTAATATTAATGCTGAAATTTTAAAAAATGAATTCTGTTTTATTTCAAGGATTACAAAGATACCATCAGTTGTGTATAAGATTAATTAAGAAATGCAACTGGAAAACATTGCTTCCTGCTCTTTTAAATCTGAAGAAATATGAGCAATATTTGATTTTCTGTTGTGCAAACTTCAGATTGTTGAGTTGTATGGTTTGCATCAAACTAAATTTGACTGATCACCATTAGCAAGGGTTACTATACATTGATTTTGATCTACAATAAAAAAAGACCCATAATTGCATCCTATTAATTTATAAGGCAGTTATTTAAATATCTTTTATTCCTTTATTTTTTCACTTGTGCTATGTTCAAATAAAATTGAAAAATCTTATTTCTTCTAAAGGATTACTAATGTTAATTTACATTTTTTTTGTATATTGTCAACTTCCAAAAAAAGGATTTCAGGCAGCTTACATTAAATGATTGTATGTAATAGTTCATCATGAAAATAAAAGCTGTATGAAATGCTGTATTGTGTTTGGAATGAGGGAAGATGATTTTACCAACTGATAAATTCTGCCTCTTCAGAGGAATAATGCAATAATATGATTTATAGAATTTGAAATGCATGTGTGAAAGGAAGTATGTAGTTTGTAATGAGAAATGTACATGTTTCTAGGCCATTAACACTAAGAATTCTTGTTACACATCCTTTTCTAAGAGACATTGAATAATGAATTAGAAATGCCTTTAGCTGCTAATATATAGAAATTCACGATATAGTCTCTTCATGGCCTTTTCTTCTGTTTTGACTTACAAAACCCAAAAATATAATATTAAAATATAAATTATAAATGAATTTTAATGGGCAAGCTAAATAAATGCATGAATGTATATAACTTGATAAGGGGGCATGGTGCCTAAATAGCTGTTTCTCAGATACTCAGTTTAAATAAGCTGGGATTCATCAATTTGATTTTGGACAAAGTTGGTTAAAGCTTTCCA